ATTTTTTGGCTCAGGAAATTAAAAAACAGCTCTCATCACATCTGACATCTACAGCGGTATGTGCTGATAATCCCTGCCAAAGAGGAGGTCCAGCATCTTCCAAAAGATGGATTATGTGTGGCATTATGTGTGTCAAAATACATACTGCTGAGTTAAACCCATTGCATTTGATTTGGGTTAAACCTGTTGTATTTGGCTTGGGTTCTGCTCCTGTATTTCCATCTGAATTTTGATAACCATAATATGCACCTAGTTTTCAGTGAATGCTGCATCACCAGAGAGGAAGGAGACAGGTTAGGATGCTTAGGATTCCCAAGGTCTGCTTAGCTGCTGGAAAAGCCACCAGTCATCTGTATCTCAAGTTTTCTATCTGTGAAAAGGGAATGGTGATGGTATCCCATATCTGTGTTCAGAGGATTAGATAAGAATAGATGGACTCTACGTGACAAGTGGCATAGAGCTGGGTAAAGTATCATAATCATTGCATCTGGACATATCTGCTGGTCTAAACAGCCAACATCTCTTTAGACATCTTTTCAATCAACAGTGATGATGATCTGGCTTTCAAAAAAAGTAGTTTGTATTAAAATTGGTAATGAAAATGTTTCCCAGGCTAGTTTATAATCTCTAAAGTGTAGAGACATGGGGAAATGCTTAAGCTGTAAGAAGGAATGTATGGCATGGCTGATTAGTCACTGCAGAGCCTCTGCAGCCTGCCCAGGCTGCTTGGGATAATGGAGAACCAGGAATCCCAAGCAGCCCTCTAATCCATGTGCTGATTGACAAGGTCGGCACATCAGAAAGGGAAAAAAAAAAAAGAGGGGGGATGGGGAAAGACAGAAGCTATGTGTTGGATCAAGAAGTTAAAGTGGTAAGAGCATTTGGCTGAGCAGAGTTTCTCCTTCAAATAATTTCCCACACGGCATTGCAGTGTTTACACCTGTCTGATAGATGGGGCCGAACATGTTTTCTCAACTATGGGTGGTAAGAGGGAGGGGATAATTCAATTAAGTGGTGAATAAATTAGAATTGATTACAAATAGAGCTATTCTTTTATGCTGCCTATAAAGGTATTAGCTGTGAACAAGGTACACTTAATCATTACAAAAGGAAGCCTGAAAGTTAATAAAGCATGATGCTGATACTTGTAGAGAGATGCCAGCTTTGGGTTAAATCTGTAGCTATTTTAGTTTTGAAGACCCAACTGTCATTTTGAAGGCGTATGCATTTTGGATTTTAACATGTTTGAAATCTGCAGCTGAGACCCAGGCCAAACCAACCCTAAAATTGGCAGTAAAATGTTACCTCTGTGCAAGTGTGCAGAATGAAGGAATCAGGAATATATGAGCAATAAGCATGTGCCCCCACTCCCCACAGTTTTCTAATGTGGAAACCTGGAGCTTTCTGGAAATAAATACCCTCTGAGCAAAGCAGAGAACTCCTCTCAAAAGCTCCTCTCAAAGCTTTTCTACACTAAATGCTTGGGAAGATTAGCTGCCAAAAGGAAAGGAAAGTGCCCAAAGTACTGCAATACTGAAGCAGCACAAGAAAGGAAGAAGTGTCTGGCTGGCTGCCTGTGCAGTGCTCTGTGGTGCTGGCCTTTTTTCTGATTCCTCACCCTGAAAAAGCTCCATAACTGAGTAAAACCAGAGTGTCTGGATAGGCAGGTAATGCAGAGCTGTCCCCACACCACAGCAATGCAAGCTGGAAGACTGTAACAAATGTCCCTCCCATCTTCAGATGTTACCAACTAATGGAAATAAGTAGTTCTGAAAACAGATCTAACCCCCATTGCCAGGGGAGAAGAATAAGAGGAGGCTCTGCAACAACCTCCTCTAAACACTTGACTATTTTCTCTATAGCTTAAGGCCCCTTCACCAGTTGCGAGTGGTGTTATAATACTTCATTGCCTCCCTGAGGTCTTGTTGAGGTTAGTCAGTGGAGATGGTGGGGAAATCAAGCTTGTTGCTGATGTGATACTGGTATTTGCAGTAGATGCCAGGTCAGTCCTTAATGTACAACCTCAGCACTCTTGATGAGAGGGTGTTCCTGGAAGTCTGTGCCAGCTCTGATTTCTCTCCTGGTCAAGTGAAGGAGAAATTTCAATTCCGGCAAAGATTTAACTCCGATATCTACCTTTAATCATAGAGATTATCTCACTGACTTCATTGAAAGTATTTGAAGTCAGAGTAAGGGAAGTGCAGAGATGCTTCTAGGTATACGCTGTTTGCTTTCTATGTGGAAAAAATTGCCAATCATACATAAACAATTTTACCTTCCTGACAAAAGCCTGGCAAAACTCAAACCTCCTGTTGTGTGTGTGATTCCTACTGAGCCAAATGAGAAGAAGTCTGAAACTGAAAGTTGCCTTGACACCTTCTGTCCCTGCCATGGCCTGTGGGCTGGAGTTTCATTTACCTGGTGACATTTTTGTGGCCAAGGTCTCCTCCAAATGCTGCCTGGCAGTCTGAGAAAAATATGAAACTCTCTCTGCTGCAACCTCTACTCTGAGATGCTGTTTGGTACATGTAAATTATTTCCTCCAGAAGCAACGCTTCAAATTACATACACTCTGTCAAGTGCTTGCAACTTGACAGAGATGGTTTTGTATTTGTGGCTGGCTGCATGTGTTGTGTAAAAGGTGTTTCCAAATTAATATGTAAACATACTGGTCAATCTTCTGTCTTCCACCTAAGGCAGGGTGCCCTCGTTGCTTTGCACACTACCCATGAACTAGTAGGAGTAAAAGTAGCTCCTTGTGTTCATGGATTTCAAATAGATGCTTGATCTTGGAGTCATCTTTGAGGGGATTAAACTGAAAATTGATCCCTTATCACTGTGCTCAAAATCCTGTTGAGTCACCTTAAGGCATTTTGGTTGAAATTGCAGGGAAATTTGTTCAATAGAAAAATCTCTGGTGTGGTTCATTCACTGCAGCAGTTCTTGATGGATATCGCTTTAGTCTGGATGTGCTCCTTTTGTATTTGTGGGTTCTCCCCGAAGTGAGTAAATTTTTGGGAAATTTTGTGCCGATATATCAAGATTAGGATGAGGCTTTCTGTGTTCATATGATGTAGATAAATTGCTTGATAACCATGAACTGTGCTATTACACAGCTCAGCAATAAATCACATCTTAAGTTTTAAAAGGCACAAATGGGAGCAAGATGCTAACTGGTTTCCAGGTGGAAAACGGTCAACAAAATCCTTTTCGTTTTTTTTCCTTTTGTATAACTATCCTAATATCAGCAAGTTAGATATGAAAGAAAAGGTGCCCAATATAGGATGTCCCTGGGATATGGAGGACTCACTTGCAGTGGTCTTGCTCTCTGCATTTCTTTGTGTTCTGGTTTTGCCATCAATGTTTTGTGGATAATATTGCATTCTGGGATATTAATAGGATTTTACATTTTTAGCAAGCTAATGATGGGGAACTTCTGACTGGTGTATTCTAGCCTTACAGGGTATTCTATTTTTGATATTTATTAACATTTTCTGTCATACAATATACAGCAAAAGCAATGAGCTTCAGACGTCTCGATATGTAAAAAAGGAATGCTTAAAAATGGCACCTATTTTTTTTTTTTTTTTTTTGGTATTCCAGTTTCCTAAGATTTTTTACCTGTGTGCTGTGTCAGTGCTGACTGGTGAGCTGGGACATGGCTGCCAATCTTTATCCCACACAGAGAAAAAGAAATTGCCACTCAGATGGAATATGTATATATGCATTTTAACCAAAGTTGAGATAGAATTTAAAAAATAAAAAGGGACTTTGAAGTCTGTTTTGTAGTTTTAATTAATGCAATGAGGGTTTTTATTTTACTCTCAGTGGAGATAATCTTAATCCATTCACAGTGACCTTTTCTTGTGCAAATTAGCTATACACGCTTGTTTAAGCAAATGGGCCTTTGCAAGATGTCTCTTCCTAAAGACAGAGCTTATAATTGAAAATTGGCTTACTCCCATCTGTCTGGCCTGTGTGAGAATACAAATGGAGATCCCAACTTCTTTGTATATAGAATATAATCATGTATGTATGTATATACATACACAGACACACGCAGAAAAAAACTGCTCTGCCTGCAGGCCATGGTAAAATTACATTATTAGTGATAGAAAATTTCAGTGCTGCCAGTTGCTGTCAAAATAACATCTATCTGCAGGGTCCAGGACCTTCTGGAGAACAGAGGGTGTTCAGTCTGTATCCTTTTGACTCAGACAAGGTTGATGCCATTCACAGTTCCATGGGTTGGTTTGCCAGAAGTACAATTAGCTAATAACAGCCTGGAAACTGTTAGGATTTGATGTGTGTTTTTTGTGAATGGTTTTGCAGTGATTGATGGAATTGAAAAAAAAAAAAAAAACAAAAGTGTCTATGAGCACTTTCATTCAGAGGAGAAGGAGTCATTGCAACTATGTGGTTAATTGCCAAAATTTGGCAGTTTATCCCTCTCACCACTCTTAACAATAACCGCCAAGTGAGTCATTGTAAACCCCATGCCTTTTTAATGCCTGCTTGATAAGGGAAGATTTCTTTGGCATAGTTTGAAATTTTTTTGCTTTGTACAAACCTCTTGTGCAGCCATGAACACAGTTCTGCATGACTTTGACTAAATCTGAATAGAAATCAGGGTCACAGAAGTGCCACAACAATGCTTTAGGTATCAAAACATTTAATATTTGTTGTTAGAAGTCATGCAAGGCTGTTTATATAGAAATGGCTCATTATTGCAAAGGCAAAATTATTTCCTTATCAATTTCATTACCAGTCTCCCCAGCTTTCTCCCATGGTGGTTGCTCCTGAGGATGAACAAAAAGGAGCCAGGGTGATGGCTGACACACATGCAGGGATGGAGCTAGTTAACCTGGTGGTAAACAGTCTTGGTTGGGGATGATTTTATCCAGATGTGTCTGTTTCAGCAGCTGCTTACATTTTCATGCCCAGTTACTCTAGGACTCACCACTAATTGAATTTTCTCTTTTCTCCCCTGTTCTTGTTAGGTATGATTACCGTGAAATGCTGCACAATGCCACTTTCTGTCTGGTTCCCCGTGGCCGCAGGCTTGGCTCTTTCAGGTTTCTGGAGGCCTTGCAGGTAAGAGCTGGAGTTTAAAGCAATAGCTACACTGGCTGCAATTCGGTATGCAATAGCAAGGAGGTGGGGAGGAGGGAAATGTGTTTCATTTCCCTGGTGGACAGTAATCCACTTTGCAAAAGCCTCTATTCATACTTCTGGAGCAATTGGCAGCTTCTTCCCAGGAGGGTCTGAGCACTGAGCTCATCTGAAGGTTGAATTGCTTTACCTCCAGGAAGAGGGTTTCCCTGGATGTGGTGAGACTGAGAGATTGGACCGGTTTCGAGCAGTATTTTATCAAGCTGTGAGACTTCCCGTGGGAGACACTGGCCTTTACAAGTAAGCCCCAGGGCAGCAAAAATAGCTTTTTGTTTTCACTTATGCCAAAACAGACCTGCTTATGCGTTGCCAGTTTTGAGATGGTACTTACTGAACATGCAGAAGGTGGCCTGGAGGGGGTAAAGCTCCAGATGGAAGCTTTACACGAAGATGGATATAGGCTGATCTCAGGGAGCGCACATGAATCCCCTTCAACTTTTAAAAACATTTTGGTTAGTGGTCTCCCTTTTTTGCTGTGGGCCAGCAGCAGAAGGAAATGACAAAAGGTTCTGGAGTCACTGTGGCAGTGTGCCTGGCAGCACAGTGATCAAGCCTGACATTGGCCTACTCCAGCTGCAGGTAGTGTGACTTTTCTTTTTGGCAAGATTCAGCTCAGCCTGGGATCCTGGATCTTCAGTCAGCGATACAGCATGGTTGTATCTAGGACTGGCATCTGGATTGTCGTGGGGGCTGAAGTGGAGAGAAGGAGATGCTGAGGCACTTCTTGGTTTTAGTGAGACAGCAAATCTGACTAAAGAAGACACCTTACAGGGTCCTGCCTCTGGGAGTTCTTCTGCCATTTGGGAAGTATCCCAGCATTGACAGTAAAGCTGTCATCACATCCCTTTTCTTCATTAACCACAAAATGTCCCAGACATACTCTCTAACGGTACTGTTTACTGCAATGCAGAGCAGGATTCAGCTACCTAAGTGTAGGTATATGATGTCATTTTAGAAGCCCAGAAAGGTAACTCCCAGAAAACCTTCTGGATTTCTGCTGCTTCTCCAGAAGGTCTCCAGTAGATCCTGTATCATATCTTCCAGCCTTTGATAGGTTTCTTGGGTACTATGGATGCTCTGGACACTTGGGTTTAACCACTGAAGCCAGCACTGAAGCAGGTTTGGCATCCAAGTTCAGGACTGTCACTTACCTCTTTTTTCTACTCAGGAGGAGATTTATAGCCAGCAAAGAGCTATTCCCTCTCTAGTCTCTGGAGGAAGAAGTGAGACTGGCTTATATGGGATGACATGTCACTTCAGATCTTTCAGAAGGGCACTGCTCAGCTCTTCTCTCATCTAGTCCCCAAGTCATGCAGCTTCTGTTAGATACATCATCTCTGGAGGAGAAAACAGGGACCATACCTCACTGTACAGAACTTGAAGGCTCCAGCTTAATGATAAAATGCACGCACCAAGGATTTTCCTAGCAGGCTACCAGCAGTATTCACCAATTATGATGGATTCCCAATTTCTGTCTGGATCCAGGGCATGTTGAAAGGCCTGATCCACATTAGTGGAATGTTTTAAACATGAAAACATATTGCTAAGTGTTTTCTGGTTGTTTTTTTTTTCATACACTGATGTAATTTCCTTACAGAAGGTCACAATTCTTTACACAGGATAAGCACTCCTGTAATGCAGACTTGACCGGTCTAAGATGCTGTGTGTGATACATGTTACCAAGGAAGGTACAGCAGTCTTTTGGGAGATGAGGGGAGGTCTGGACCAAATTCAGAGCTCTTAAGCTTAGCTTGATCCAAAAGAAACTGAACCAGAGCACAGGCTTGCTACAAATCCTCTGGTACTAGTTTCTTTCATCACTTCGGGAGATTTTTGGTTTGGATCTTACCTTGTGATTGAGCTGACCAGAACCTAGTAGTGATCGTTTGTTTATGGAAATACTGACCTGTTTACTAAATATTTACAGACTCTCTGTACAGAGGAATTTGTACAACTCTTAGAAGATTAAATAGGTTAGACAGATCATGCTGGTATGAAATAGATATTAAATGTATATGTCTTTTGTTTGTTTTAAGACATAAAGCAGTTCTTATTTTTGTAGACAGGTGATGACGGATGAGTTATGTTTGTGCAGTTGCCTCTGTTTGGAGGGTTGATATCATAAAGGATAGGGAATTCACTCCTCCCTTCTGGGAAAGGTGCTCTAGAATTAAATATGACCTGTATTTTCTGTAGAGTTGCATAGCAACATGATATAAAAATGGTTCACAAAGCAGCAAGGGGGGTCATGATTTTTTATTAAATTCTCCAGTGTTATATCTACAGCATGTAACAGTTCTGCCCTTGTCTGGCAGTGTAAGCACCAGATTGCAAACTCCACTCTCCATGCAAAGCCCACCTTCAGTGCATATGAGTAAGCACAAAATGGAAAACCATAATCCCTTGGGCTGCCCTCCTGTGGATTCTGGCTTCTGGTGTTCTTTGCCGTGTTGCCTGTCCTGAGCTTGTGCAGAAAACAGGGATCATGGTGTTGGTGAAAACGTCAGGTAACCATCCTCCTCTGTGTCCCTGCAGGCCGCCTGTGTCCCAGTCATGCTCAGCAATGGATGGGAGTTGCCGTTCTCGGAAGTGATTGATTGGAACCAAGCTGCCATCATAGGCGATGAGAGATTGTTATTACAGGTAAGGAAAAGACCACGGCCTTCAGCAGATCAGGTGATTATTGCTGCCACCATCTAAATGGACAGGGAAGATGAATCCAAAAGGTCAGGACTATAAAGGAACTTTTATCATGAAGGGATTGTCTGTGTCACACCGGGCTGTGAACTCATTTAATATGACATCATTCATTTTTTGACCTGGAGGTCATTGCAGACACCAGGCCACACTCTTAAATGCACTCCTAAACTTTTATTTTTGCAAAGAGCATGAAATCTCTTCTGGTGTGGAGCACTCAGATGCCAATCTGAGGCAGAGCTGTCCTGGTCCAGGTGCTGTGATGAAAGATAGAATGTTTGAGGGCAGGTTCTGCTCCAGTCCTTCAGAAATAGTTTATCCTCAGGTGTCCCGCAGCACTGGGAATCCTCAGAAAAGCAGATATTTTCTCAGGCAGGAATTATCACGCAATAGTTCGGTGGGAAGTTGCATCTGTCCCTGTTCTGATGTGTGGAACATTGCTTTCTGAAGCAGTGTTCATGTCACTTATTGTTAATCTTGAGATCATAGAACAAAAGTCGGCTGAGAAGTTACACATTCCCTGCTCCCTTCAGCATCTACTTTGGTTTTAAATTCACTAGGATTATTTTTTTTTTCAGCTACCTTAATGGATTTTATAGTATATATATATGTTTATGTATATGTATATATATATATATATTCTGTAAAGTATGTGGAGAAGTTGATGTTAGGAGAAGTTCTTGAAAAACTGTTTTCCTCAAAGTAGCATTTGATAAATCTCCGTTGCCCAGCATGAAGCTGAGTACCACAAGATCTGGAATAACCACTGAATAACCACTAAATAGCCACTAAGAGTTTTATTTATCATTGAGTTTAGTATCATCCACAGAGAGAAGCCCTCAAAGGTACAGGTGCCATGGCACCCCCAAAACAAAGTATCTTTAAAAATCTCGTTTCATGCCTCTTAACTTGTCTCAGGAAGTAAATATTTGTGAAGAACTGGTCTTGCAAGCCTTGCAAAGTGTTGCTTATTCTATTTAATGTGATACTAGCTACAAATATAAAAGGACCATTTGATTTTTGCTTTTGTGGACAGCACGTCTTTCTGAGCAAAATTATGTCTCTCTTTAAATAATAATAATTTTCTGATCTTCGTGCTTTCCGGTAACATGCCATTCGTTCACTTCACAGCTGCTTCCATATTGAACAGCTACTGCACCGTTATTAACAGTGTTTTTAAAGAGCTGGCAGAGGGCCTGAATGTCTGCTCTGGGAAATGTTTTTGTTATGTTACAGTTTTTCATTTCCTGTTTGAGAGCAACTCGGATGTTTTTATTTGCATATTCTCCTCATCATAGTGCTGGGAGAGCTTAATCCAGCCTTTCTGCATTTATTTGTGCAGGGTGGTTTTTCCCTCCCCCCTACTCATTGCTGAAATGACCTTTTATTAATGTTCTAATAATTCCAGTGTAATCATGCCAGATTAATATTAATACATCATTTTGCCCACCTGTCTTTCTGGACAAGTAGATTAAAACTAATAGGCAAATGCAGTTAAAATGGGAGCTCTGATTTTTCTTTCCAGCTGTTGTAACAGAGCCCACACCAAGGCCTTTTTTTAACCTTGACACTGTGTTTGCTGGCACTCACAAACATGGTGTGGTGTGTAAAATCATAACTTCTTGCAGTAACCTTCGCAGTCTGAGCAGCCTTCCCTTTCAAAAAGTATAGTTGGGAATGAGTATTGATTTTATTTGTTGCTTACACACGTACACACACAGACCCAAGGTTGCACATATTGCAATGAAATTTTAAGTTTATTGAAAAATGCTGTAGTGCCTCTCTGAAGTGACGTTAATCTTGTCTTCGCTGCTGATAATGTTCCTGGGTATGGTTAATACACATCTGTGCAGCCAGTAGAGGTAATGTTCGTTATCCCTCTACTTATTGGGACACATCACAAATAGTGATGTGATCACTTAGAAAAACATGTTTCCAACTTCTGTCTTCCATACTAGTTTTGCAGGGAATATTTTACCTAAAGACCTATATTTTACTTAAAGGGCCTGTAGCAAAGGAATGTAAAGTAGCATCTTCAACAATCTGACCTTTTTCTTCTGCTCCACCTTGCTGCAGTGCCAAGTCTCTCATAAGCTCAAATTCTGTATTGCATTAGCAGTGTCTCTAAGATGGTGGTCTAATAGTTGAAGGGCTGAGCGAGCAAAGATGTTTCATCTAACACTGCACCCAACGGAGCCATGAACAAAGTGTCCATACCTGGTTACAAACTCTGCAGTAAAGAACTTGCTGATTCTTGTGAAAATTTTTTACATATAAATTCTTAAAATATCAAATTTTCTTCAGGAAAAAGGTTTCATGTGAAATCATTTGATTCGAGAACATGTGAAAGCAAATAGTGATCACTGCCACATCTCAGAATATTTTAGGAATAAGCAAAGTGTGGGAAAGAATAGGATGTGGTGGGTTGCAGGCAAACTTCAGAATAAGCTGGGATACACAAGAACTAACACACAACCCAGGTATATGCTTTTACAGCTAATGACTCAGGTAAAAAATTTATGAGAAATGAGTGTCTGAGAAAAAGATGGTCTATTTTAACGGTTGGACTCGATGATCTTAGAGGTCTTTTCCAACCTAAATAAATCTATGATTCCATTTAGAAATCAAAAAAAATGTAGGTGTAAAAGCACAACTCTTCATTGCTAGAAAAAATGAACACAAATCAGCAACATATCCTCTATGCCTTTTTGCTGCTGTGAGTAGCCAATTACAGTGAAATTCCCTTGGTAATGTCAGTTTGTGTTGTCCAAGTGGGGTACTGGAGGCCTTGGTTAAAGTCCTAAGTTAAAGCATGGCATGTATGTACATTAGTTTCACTCCAGTGTGGAAGAAGGACGTGGGGATAGGGAAGGATGTAGACATAAAGCCCTTGCCTTCTCGTCTAGTGAGCAGTTACATTTTTTAAAGGAAAAGCACTGCAGAAAGACAATTTGGGGTTTATTTGTAAGGCAATTTATACCACAATTAATATGTGGATTTAATGGAAAGGGGGGAAAAATAAGCACTGTTTTCCCTTGTGAATAACATGTGTTGTAGAAGACGTTATTCTTTCCACCTTCGGTAATTAGTAAAATGCAATTTGATCCACAGGCTCCCAAAAAGTGGAGTCTTACTTAAGATGCTGCTGTGTTTTCTTTAGGGCACGTAGCATTGCCATGCTGTGGTAAATGCAATTCCAGATCCCTTTAATATACTTTGAATGTGGGGATTATTGTTGAACTCTCAAGACCTGCAGGTACTAGGTTGTTAAAATACTAGTCCACAAAGAGCTTCGTGAGATTAAAAGCATGAGGAGTGTATGGAGGAGCTCCTTACTGTGCCACACCACAACGCTACAGGGGGGCAGCTTTTTACCATAAAACAACCAAAAACTAAAAGAAAGCAGATTTAAAAAGAAAAATCATATATTCAGTGCCAGAGGTTATAAAGGGTTGTGTCTCATTCATTTTACATCAAGGCTTTAACTGTCGACACACATCTCTGTTGGACAGGAGTGCTGAAGCTGTTCAGCTCACTAATAGAGGAGAGGACTTGTCAGCAGCATATTAATTTGATGAGATTGTGTTGTTTCTGAAGCCTCTGACTATATTGCATCTTGTGTTACAGATTCCTTCTACAATCAGGTCTATCCATCAGGATAAAATCCTAGCACTTAGACAGCAGACACAGTTCTTGTGGGAGGCTTATTTTTCTTCAGTTGAGAAGATTGTATTGACTACACTAGAGGTGAGTAAAAATTATCTGGGACCTTGCTAAGCCGTGAGATTTCTGTACCTGTCCAGCTGCTTCTGTCCTCAGCTGGTGTCAGACCTTGGTTTTCATGACATGTAGTTGGTCACTGGGAAAAAAGCTTGGCATCTTGATGAGTTTTCTCCCCTAAGGAAATACTTTCTTCATTATCAGAATCCGCATTAGAAAACTGACACAGTGAAAAATGGGAGCTACCCAACACATGGAAAAGTTGTCATGTGTGATCTTGACTTAGCAAGGCTTTATGGCTTATGAATCACTATCCTTGTCATTGGTAGTGAATGTATTTCTTAAGAAACCCTTCTGGAATTCGTTTTGGAAAAAATATTACCATGGAGCTCCTCCTTGACCATTCCTTAACATTTTGATGCCTTGTGATGGGGCTGTTGGTCTGGCTCAAGGAAAAAGGGGGGCTTGTAAATGCTGGGTCTTATCTTCACACGCAGGATAAAGGAAAGGCCTGATCATCCTTATAAATTATTAATAAATAATCATAATTAGACTGCTATTAGAGGGGGAGACAGATGATCTCAAATGTGGAGAGAATCCTTTCTGAATTCAGAGGCAGAGGAAAGATGAAAGGCTCTTTAGAAGTAGGGCCCAGGCTGCAATTTCAAAAGCAGGTTTCTTTTCTAATTGTTTTCCAATTTTTTGCATAAATTTCTGACACACTTCTACCACTGAAAAAGATTCACTTTGTAGGGGCAAATGCACTTGTCTTATGCTAATGCTTCTGCAATACCATCCATCTTTGTGCACAGTTGTAATGCACAGTTGTAATGCACAGTTGTAAAGTTCCACATTTCCCACTGTGCCTGCTTTCCCCTGAAAACTGCAAATGAGTGCTTCCGTCTGCAGTACAGGTTGCCCATGGCTGATCTGTCTCCAGCTGCTGCAAGACAGTCCCTTAGGTTTTTCTGTGCCAGTGAAGAAAACCAGCCAGGGAACATTTGCAGAGCCCCTGGCATAGCTGTCCTCACAATGCTCCCTCACCCTCAGAAGAGCATGTCTTCATCTGTGCTGCCTGTTGGGAACTGCTCTGCATCCTCAAACTCTTCGTAAGCCACTGATGAGGTGGTGATAATTATCACAGCCCACACCAGGATCAGACTCACAAAGCTGGAAGACCATGTGCCATAGCTTGCAGTCTAATTAGCCCTTACAGAAGTGCTCCCAGAGACCATCAGGTGCCTCACACATCATCTGCCCCTTCCCTGCATGCGCTCTGTTATCGTTAGGGATTGCTAAAAGGACAGGGGCACACTGCTCTCCCCATTGCCCTTCCCCTGCCTGTGCTGGGGCTGGTCTCAAGGGGGCGTAACCTGCAGCCCCCACAGCCTTGGTGTGCATTGAATCAAGTTCCAGCACTCACAGATGTGTCTTTAGTGCTGCTTTGAAATCCATTGGCCCATGTGGCTGCATGACTCCAAGGGGCAGCAAACCCCATAAAGCTGAAGCAGATGGGTAACCAGCAAGCTGGAGTTTCTGCTCAGAGTGCAAAAACTAAAAGACAAAAAACTTCCTGAAAGGCTTCCTGAAAGGTTTAGTTTAATGAAACCAATTAATGTATGCCTGGTCTTGAAGTTATGTTCTGGGTTTTTTCATTTGTTTGCAAGTGTAGTTTTGGTTTGAGATGTTTTTTGATTGTTTTTTAATTCAGGACTCTCAATTTTTTGAGACAGCTAAGAGGGACTCTGTTCTTATGAACAGATATTAATTTCACATTTCAACTTGCCTAAGTAAAGTCCTGAGTTAACTTTCCCTAGGAAAGGAGTAAAAGAGTTGAGAGCAATTTTTGGTGTCTGAAACCTGCAAGCAGTATATCGTCTTCTTAAAATCTGATGTCTGGAAGTAAATTCCTAGCAGGATTATTTTTTTCTGGTAGATGTGGTCCATCTTCTCTCTGACACTGTTGTGTCAGAGTGCTCTGATGATTCTAGATATCATCAGAATAATCACTTGCCTGCTAACTGCAGTGCCAGTGTATGTCTATGTCTGAGGATATCAGGACAGAAAAAATCTTCACCAGCTCAGATGTCTGCAAGGACATCACAGTCCTTTATCATGCATACCTGTGGAAACCGTAAGTCACATTTTAAGGTCCTTGATCTTCTCACAACATTTGGTGGCCTAAGCCAAAGAGCTCATAGTCCAAAATAAGAGGTTTGAATAATCTGGCCAGCAACCCCCTATTGCAGTCACAGAGGAACTCCCAGTGCCTTGGACGTGGTGTGGGATAGGAAACGATGCTCACAAGTGTCTATTGCAGACTGGTAAGTGGGAGTGCTGTGCTGCTGCAGACACCATCCATGCTCCAGGGTGTCTGCACTTTTTCAGCCTGGTCTTCTCCAAGAGCAAACCCAAAACATCCCTGCATCCCTGCACAGTGTGCTCAGCCCTCGGCTCAGGAAGAGAAGTGGAAAGAGACAGCACAAAGTACAGACAAGAAATATTGGATGCTTGGTTGGGACACTTTGAAAAGCAGCTATGATTAAGGCAATATGTGAACTTTTTGAAGTGTGAGGATGAGGGAGACAAAAATATTGGACTATTAATGCATTCCAAAAAGAAAAGGGAGATCTTGCCAGAGATCCTAACCCCTTTCTTCACTTATTAAACTTCCTGTCATGCCTCATCATTGGAGAAACCATGTAGTTGCTGTCTTCTCTGCAACATGTGCAACACTGTACACTCTATATTTTAATTCCTTGGTCCTCCATGTTATCCTTTTTTACACTTTTCTCTTTCTGCCAAGTTGTCTTTTGTCCTCTCTACCCTGACAGACAGGTTTCTTATGGATCAGGAGAATGATAAATTAGTGATCTGTTTGTTAACTGTGATGAACCATCAAGGCCAGCTCCTGAGCCTGGAGCAGAATCACGTTGGTGAGGTTTGTGTGCCTCACATGCACTGCAGGCTGTGTGTGCTCCATGGCACTGGGGCCCTGCTCCCCATTGGAGCTGCGCTGGCTTCGGGCACACTGAGGCGGCACTGAACAGGAGCCATGTGTTTCCCCTGCAGCCTTGTTGGCTACCAGCTAGTGGAAAACTCCACCGTCTGTGAAAACCTCCTGACCATGTAAATTCACAGACTTCTCCTTATCTGACTGTGCCCCAGTTCTGAGAAAGCAGGAGGGAGGAGCTGTAGTGTTTAGGCTTTGTGGTAAACACTCAAAAATATGTACTTTCTAGGTTCTGTCTTTGTTTAGTGGCATAATTTGCAGATGGGCAAACAGCAGTCATTGTCTGTGGTTTTTCCTCTCCCCACTGCCATGTGGGAGATCTGACAACTGATATACCTAACTTACCAAACAGAAATATTCAGATACATTCTTGTCAGTGATGAAACTACAGTCCTAAGTCTGTTATTCAAAAAAAAAAGAAAAAAGTTAAATTAACTCACTCATGTGAGTGAATTACTGCATATTAGCTATGGTAATTGGCTGTAGGCAAAATTTAGACAAGCATGCACTCAACATCTGCCCCAGTTTAGCAATACGTATATTGCCACCAGCAGTGGATTGTCTAGCACAATGTAACTGGTGTTTTAATCTTTTCTTGTCATGGCAATCAAAAATTCCAGGAAAACCACTGCTTGTGGCAACACTTATTCGTGTTCTGTATTGACCAAATGTCCCTGAACTCAGCAGCTTACAGATTTTTGAGCTTGGTTAGACTCCAGCAGCTGCTTTTGTGCTGTTTGTGGTGAGTCTTTTTGCTTGCTTTTGGTTTTCTTACACTTCGCTCCACCTTCAGACACATGAAATTTCACCTAGATACGCCTATGTTAAGGCCAGATGTGTTAGGTTAGGAGACCAACATGTTCTTGGCACTTGAGCCCTGTGCACTGCATAAACTACCAGTTAAGTGAAACATTGGGACATCACGGAAGACAAGCTGCAGAAGAAGGCAAGGCATTCCTTAGCCAGCCTGGGAGAAAATTCATTCTTTACCACCTCCTGGCCCTTTACAGTGTCCCATGTCCAGACCTGGAAGCTTCTTATGCTCTGAGGGAAGGCAAATCTGTAAGAACGTGTGGCTCAAGAGCCTACTGCACTTAAAAAGTTGCACTCATGTGGAGGCTGAACTTGTCCTGTTATAGCTTCCCACCACTGAATCTTATGTCTTTGCAAAAAGTTTAAAAAAATTCCCATCAGTGTAAGAACCATTCTGGTTCTTGCAATCAGACATCTGATGTGAAGCAACTGTAATTAGTTTCATAAATACATATTAATTGTATGAATTGTATGGCCTTGTACTTTTTTTTTTTTGGCTTGTGGTATTCTAGATGATGAAGTAGATGATCTAGCAATCTGTTCTGACCTTAAAAGCCTAGGAATCTATGTTTGTGGCCCTCTACAGAGACAGACAGTAGTTGCCAAGAGATCTTTTTCTGCTTCATCCAACAAGGAACTATTGCAGAACTGAGACGTGGAATCAGCAATGTATCTGAATACTAATATCCCTTTATAATTAAGCAAAACCTTATAATTAGTGCTGCCTGATTTGCTGCAAGTCTTTGTGGTTTTGAATGCTCTCATTATCTCCAAATAATACCTAGCTGTGTAATGCCATCTTCAAATAATTATCATCTGTGAGTTCTGGGTAGTAAAACTGACAATGAACTAATCAGGCTTACAACTGCTAAGATACTCTAATAGACAAAATATTTGACTTGAAATATAAAATGCTATAAATTGCGTGGTCCCCACGTCCACAGAGACTAATGAGATGTTCTGAAACCTATGGCACACAGCCTGAGCTGCTGAAGTGGTGTCAAGAGTGTTCAGGTTCTGAGTTCTTTTAAGAGAGATCAAGGAGGAATGTCTAGTAATTTGTGTGCCTCAGCTTTTTGCAAAATGGGTGATGATTCCAGTCAGCTGGAGTCCCTGAAACTTCTACTAGTGACTATGATAGTCTATTTAAAAATTGTTACTTCTCTTGTTTTTCAGATTATTCAGGACAGAATATTTAAGCACATATCACGTAACAGCTTAATATGGAACAAACATCCTGGAGGGTTATTTGTACTGCCACAGTATTCCTCATATCTGGGAGACTTTCCTTACTACTATGCTAATCTCGGTGAGTGAATCCTTGCTATAATGTAGTAGCATTTGGAATTTCTAGTGGAAATTTGAAATTTAGTCTTTGAGTAGCATGTGCCAAGTGACTTGCCGTTTGTTTGTAGTTAATGGTGCCTTTCGTTTATCCTGTCTTCCCTGCCCACTGTAGACTGGAATGTCTCTGACTCATCAACATGCATCATATGTCTCTCCCTTGCAAAGATTTTTTAAAAAAAAAATCTATGTCCCTTCATACTTTTCAGTTGCTGGTAATGAATGCCTGAGTTGCTGATGCATTCATGGCCTGAGGGGACATAAGAGGAGTAGCTTTTTCCTTTCTTTGTTTATTCGTGCTTGGCAAATTGGAAAAGTGGTAATTTACCCATGACACTTGTTATTGGAGTGCACAGTTGGTATGGATTTATTCTCCATACGATGTGTCTTCATATGGATCCCACTAGAAGGAATGAATAGGGCTTAGGTTCATGGCTTTTTCCTGGAGCAGAGCTTGAACAATGAGTTCTGCAGGCAAATGTGCCTACAAGCTGAAGTGATCCTGCTTACTAGAAGGCTGCTACTTTTGGCTCAGCCTGTGCCATCCCACTTCTGTGGTTCTGTACTGCTCACCTACTAAAAATTCACAGTTACTGTGTTAAAAAGGGGAGAAGAAGGTTTCTGTGATAATTTTGATGAAAAATGACTGTGACCCCACATAGATGAATTTAGATGAGGTTGAGAGCGTTAATGAAGGACAGACACCAGCAGGATCTGTTATTTCAGGCAGAAAAGGAAATCATAGTGAGACAAAAATATCAGAATGGAAGGCAAGCAGAATTATCAGCTCAGGAGGTAATCGATGATGCATGTGGAGGGGAATCAACCCAGAAAGAGCAAAAATCTGTCAGAGACTAATGGAACTGAGGAAACTGAACAAGCTTCTGGAAGTTATGGAGATAGTCTGTAGAAAACACCAAGCATCCAGAGCCAGGCAGTAAAACAGAGCCTGTCTCAAGAAGGACATTTGACTGAACAAACTAGATGTCAATATTATCTGTGGGACAAACTGGATGGAAGAAAGATTGCAGGACATCTCTGGAAATAGTGAGTAAGAAAAGGCAATAGTTGTCTTGGAGTCAGGTATTTCAGAGGGTGTGGGAGTTAACAGGAAGTGTGATCTCCTCATCTGGTATCCTAGTATCTGAGATGAAGGAACATGGCCTAAAAAAACATGGCAAGGTTTACATTAAGTGCACGTTGTTTTTTCCATCTCTGGAGTCCTTTAATCTGTACTAACTGGAGTGGTTTTGTCTTTACTGAACACGTATGTATCTCTTCACTTCAGGTCTGAAGCCTCTTTCCACATTCACTGCCGTTATCCACGCAGTAACTCCCCTGGTTTCCCAATCTCAGCCTGTGCTGAAACTCCTGGTTGCTGTAGCCAAGTCCCAGTACTGTGCACAGGTAAGCAGCACTGTTTGGCTGTCAGTCCCAACAGAGAAAAACCACCCTGACAGGAATGAAGAGCCTGGTGACTCAGCCCTGTTTCAACCCCCTGTTTCAATTCTGATGTTTCTTTCCTCTGAGATTTCTGCTATCTGTGACCTACATGCATGGGAAACAAAAGTTCTGAGTATAATGGGAGTGGAATAGAGATAGTAATTAAACCCTTTTGTTACATGAGACAAGTAAAATAATGACTGCACTTTAAAGATCAACATTGTATGTGCTGCAAGCTGCAAAAGGATGTCTGTGCCTCAAGAGCTGCTGTGTGATCTTCCTTCCTCCTGCTGTGGCTCTTAGACTTATCAGTGCCAGGATTTTGGCTTCTCTAAAAGAAACCCTGAGGAGTTCAGTAGGAGCACCCTCTTGCAGTGGAGTGTCACAAGTGATTTTGCCTTTAATGAGAACCAAAGTAAATCAGTGACATCCATATGACCTGGCCGAGACAGAGACTTCCCAAGTTCCTGTCTGGTCTATATTTGCCTGAGAGGATGTATATTGTAAGTAGTCAGGTTGGGTGAAATTACTGTAGGAAGTGTTACTTTTATACATATTTGTACCATTGTTTTTGATTTTGAAATTCCTGATTTGAATTTAACATGTCTGTCTGGAGATCTGGAACCTTAGTGTTTGGACTGCATTGCCACAAAGGTCTCTGATCATGGTCCAATACTCTCTTTCAGATTATTGTTTTATGGAATTGTGATAAACCTCTCCCAGCCAAACACCGCTGGCCTGCCACTTCTGTGCCTGTCATAGTTATCGAAGGAGAGAGCAAGGTAGGTGGAGGGAAGCATAGTAAAATGCTGCCTATATTCTCCAATGAAATAAGAATTTATTTTTCTGGCTGCTTTGGTGAAAGCTTCATAGTTCCCAACTATGTGACAGCTCCTTTCTATTCCTTAGCCTTTTGTACCAGCTTGGTCACAGATTTGTGTTTCATACATGGGCCCTGTGCTCACAGAAGTCATCAGCGTGGCAATTAATGCCTTGAATCTGAGATTCACAGATGGGACCCAGTTTTGAAATGTGGTCCCGAGAGTAGGTAGTGCTGATCCCATCTGTGGAGATTTCTGCCTCTCTGGAAGTGCATGAAGGTAGTGATGCAGCTTCAGCATTGAGTCTGAGCAGTCAGATGCAAGACTTGGGGGTCAGCTGTGAACTCAAAAGCAGAGGAAAAGATGAGAACTAGCCTTTGAAAAGTGCCTTTTCTTATGGTCTTGCGGGGTACTGATGCCAGTGATGGGGTCTTACCATCAATAAAAAAGGAAGGGACAAGGGACATGGGCACGTGTGGGAGCAAAATCACCACATCATCTCTTGCTGTGCAACACACGTTTGTTTGTACTTTCACAAAGTCAAAACAGACAGCATCAGATGGGAAAAGAATGGGTTTTTAAAATCCACACTGATGTGGATGATTCCTTTACAATGAGAGAAGCAAGACTTGCCTCGAGACACTGAAACAGATTTGGGCTGGTCCCCTCTGCAGTCACTGTCAGCTGGCTCTTGAGCTCTGCACTGGCAAAGGAAACTTTAAGTTGCTTTGGCTGTACAATCCTATTTTGAATTTATAATCCTCTCTTTGGTCTTTTCCCCCTGTCACCTTAACAAGGGGAGAGAGGGAGCCTTGCAAAGTTGGCAGCTAAGGCTCTCACCTTAGCTAGCCATGTAAACAGTATCAGGAGAGTTGCTGCAGGGCCAAGAAAGGCTATGGTGATTTCTGAACCTTTTGATTGTTCTGGGGTTTTTTAATTTTCTTTTTGTAAAACTTGCAGATGTGAGATAGAGGAGAAAATCTCTGACCAGTTCTACAGTGTTTGTAGAAATTGGCCCCAGGCACTGTTTAGATTCCAAGTGAGTCTCCTGAGTACACAAAGGTGTGTTTATACTGGACAGTCTCTTCCCTCTAATATCCCAACGTATGCCAAATGGCTTCGTGCATGGAAAGCTGTTTGTTTGGACAAAGCTTGTGGAGCCAGAGCAGTGCAATTTAAAGGTTTCATAAAGGAACTGCTTTTCATCTCCAGACTTAACTGAAACATACTGGCAGGCACATTACTCTGTGCGGGTGATCGCAGAGGTCTGCTTTTACCTAACCTTAACTCTTCCCCATGAAATCAAGAGATATTATCACACCCATTTTACAAAAGGTAGCTTTAGCTATGAAACAAATACATGCCTAGTCCCGGCTGTTGTACTATTTGACAATTTCACATGGTCTGTAAAAGATCAGAGGTGAGAATGCAGGTCTCCTGCCGGCTGCTTGCTCTGCTTTGCCTTAGTGTAAGCAAAGCAAAACCATCAACCTCAGCCAAATCTCGTACCAGCCATCGCCTCCCCAGAACAAGGCCATTGTAGCAATGAAGAGATACTCTCCAGACAGACATTGTGAACATCCTGATTACGGAGACAGAGCTTTCTCTGAATCAAGGCATAGATTCTGAAGACTTGCTCCCAAACACGTTGCAGGGGATGCAGAACTGACAGTGTCCATTATGAGAGATGTATAAAACTCCTCCATGTCTCTGTTTCCTTATAGTGGTTTCCTCTTGCTGGGCTTGACTTTTGTAGTGGTTTTTTGGATTAATGAATAGGAAAAGAAGTCTAGTGACTAGCCAGACTATTTTTCCTAGCAAATGAGGGAAAAAAATTGTGTTGTGTCCTTGTTACATCAGCTTTCCAAAGGTGCTAATTAGTCTGCTAAGGAAACCATATAGATTTTCATTTCTTGCTATTATCTTTTTGATCCAGCTTTCCCATCTATTTCCTGTTAGTTTGAGGACCATGCTACCATATCTTTCCAAAGCTTATACTGCATATAGGTTTTATATGTATAGAATGGTTTGGGTTGGAACGGACCTTAAAGATCATCTAGTGCCAACCTGCCTACCATGGGCAAGGACACCTCTCACACTAGACCAGGTTGCTCAGAGCTCCATCCAGCCTGGCCTTGAACACTTCCAGGGATGGGGCATCTACAGCTTCTCTGGGCAACCTGTTTCAGTGCCTCACTACCCTCACAGTAAAGAATTTTTCCTAATATCTAACCTAAACTTACTCTCTGTCTGTTTGAAGCCATTCCTCCTTGTCCTGTCACTCCATCTTTCTTGTTGGCTCCCTTCAGGTACTGGAAGGTTACTTAGAATGTGACTTTTTAAAAAGCTACAACACCTATATAATTCTTGATGCAAATAAAACTCGATACATGTGTTCTATAGCATGTTCTCCTTTTTTGACAGGGAATGTTGCACCATCCTGGTACTGTAACATCCTTCACACACAGTCTGGGCTGCTTGGCTTCCCAGCTGCGTAGCCTTATGAATGCTGCAAAGTCCTTCTCAGTGAGGGACAGTCTTAGCTACCAGGGAAAATGTCCTCTCCAAAGAAGCTGTAGGTACATCTAATTCTCAGTATGGACCATTACAGTTTCTCACAAAAGGAAAGCACCCTACTCCAAAGAGGGAGGTCTTTTCAGAAATTACTCCTCAGATAGAAGGTATTGCCTGACTGCTGGGGTGACAAAAATGACACTCCTTCACTCTTGAGCTGAAGAGTCCCTTCCATCAGACAGAAATATGCCATGTACCTCAGACAAGAGGAAATAAGAGTGAGGAATAAAATGGAGTATTTACCTTGGAACTGAGTACTTCAAGTGATTTTTATTTTCTCCCCTTCCTGCCTTGGATACTCACAGGTTATGAGCAGTCGCTTCCTGCCCTACGACAACATAGTGACAGATGCAGTGCTAAGCCTGGATGAGGACACCGTGCTTTCAACCACTGAGGTAAGGGTCTCTGTCATGCTGGGAGACTGCTTGGCTCCTGGGCTCAGCCTGAGCACAGCAGATATGCCCTTCTCTGGGCTTTGCCAGTGAGTAAATGTTATAAGATTTCCTGCCACACTCCTCAAATTTAACGTGTTGCACTTGTTTCAGCAATGCTGCCACTGCCTGCCATCAGAGGAGCTTTTCGCCCTGGTTAATTGGCTCATCATTAGCATATGGTTCTTCCGTTCTTTATTATTTTAGTAACATAGCTGCAGGCGGGTGTAGGCAGCCAAGAGCAGTCAGCTTTAATATTCTGTTCTCACTTTTCTGATTGGGGTAACTTCCCCCCTCCCTACGTTATCAGTAGGGTGTAGGTGGAGAAGGAAGGGTTGTCAGCAGCAGGGGACTGCTATCGCTCTAAAAGACAGCAGTGCCACCCTAATGAAGGATTTCACTGAGGAATGTTCTTTCACCATTGTGTCGGCCCATAAAATTGGAGATCTTTGCTAGTTTAGGTTCCTTGAGTGTTTGTGCCAAGAGCAAGATAGCACTAAGAAAAGAAAAATACTGTAGAAAACCAATTTTTACAACTGGGATGAGTATTGATTTCTAGAACCTCTTCCTGAGAACCACAAGGGAAACTGATGACACTTTATATAGAGTGCAATATTTGGGAAATACATTATTAATGATGGCCAGGGAATAGCTTGAAAAACTCGATTTTCTTTTTTTTTTCCCTTTTTTCCTCCATGTTCATAGCCATTCCCCTCTCCTCACTTCACCTTTATAAAAATGCATTTTTGTCAGTGGTGGAGATGCTACCACTACTTATATATCAGTGAACAAATGTGTAACATTAATCTTCAGTCACTGCTATATACCCTGTGATGTTACTGAATTTGTTCTAAATTGATGAGATTGCAACTGCTCTTCTTCTCTGTACGGATGTTGTGCTGTGGTTAGGCTGCTCCAGAAAGACACACAGTAGCCCTCTTTTGCTTCACAAATGGAAGAAATAGTTGACATTGAATCTATTTCGTACCAAGGTTACACCTTGATAGTTTCTGCTAGATAAGAAAGAATATGGCTGCTGCCAAAACACTTGTGTGCAAAGCCCTGCACAGCACAGTAAAAGGCATTTATCCTAGGACTGGAGTTCCCGAGCAGGTTGTTGCTCAGGAAGAAGGGTCTCATCTCAGCTGCCTTGGGGACCATGGTAAGACCTCTCAGAGACTTCATTGCCCTGAGGGGGTATTTACAGCAATTCCATGTGAATTCCATGAGGTTTTGGGGCTTTGTTTTGTTTTAACTGATACTTATTCGTCATCCAAACTTTGGAATCATTTAAGCTTCTGGAACACATATGAAGTAAATAAATAGTGTTCCTCATTCCTCTTGGCCGTGTTTTACCCTAAACATTCTGAAATGCAAATATTTGTTGTTGTGTGAGACAACGTACATGTTTCTTTGTGGCTTCTTCCCTCCTGTGCGTAACTTGCAGTTGATCCTGTGTGTTTGTGCAGTGGCTGTTTGCTCTATGAGCTCATGGTTCCTGTGCTGCAGACAGAACCAGCTGGCCAGCTCTTGCCAGCACCCACCTTGCAGCTTTGGTGTGTCTCTGCCAGGGTGCCAGGGTCAGCAGCTCTCCTTGGTGGCTCTCCATGAAGAGCTGGTGGGCCTCCATTGCTTCGCTTCCCCCACTGTACAGCTTATGCAAATGCGGTGTGACATTTCCTTTGAAAATAGCTGCTCATGGGTGGTTGTTGTGGCAAAGCTTCAAGGCCCAGAGAAAGCAATTTAGGAATGTGGTCAAACACAGTCACATTCTCATTGAAAGGAGCAGTCACCAGGCACATCCTCTGGACTGTCCAGCCCTGGGGTAGTAAAGGTTTTCCATCCACAATGGAACAGCACGTAATTGCTCTGTGACGGGAGCTGTTCCACATGTGCAGAGGGATGTGTGCGTGAGTCGTGATCTGAAATCAGCACGGGTCAGTGATCCGGAGGTCTAAGAGACTGGCAGCTTGGTTGGATTTTCCTGCTGATCAGCTGAGAGTGGCAATGCTGCTGGAAATTATACAGGATGAGAACTGAGGGATTTTTTTAATAAAGGCAATTTACTCTTAGGGTGGTTGCTTTAGTGTGTCTCCCTGGTACAAGGACAGATAGTTGAAAGCACAAGAGAGGGCACTGAGTGCAGAAGCTTTATTATTTATTTAGTTTGAGATTCTCAGACTTCTCTAAAGAAAACAGATGTCACGTTTTATGGGAAAGGCCTTTATAGGGGAAAAAACTCTCTAGTTCTTTCATGTGGTATTGATCAGAACTATCACAACGGTAAGTGGTTTGTGCACATTGTCTTTCTAGTTGGCCTCAGATTCCTTGAAACAACTTTAAAGAAAATATCCAGTCCCTAACTTTGTGTTCCAGTCCATGTGTGACTCTTCTGTTTCATAAAAACACTTGTAAATGTGAGAAGTCTGACAGTAATCAACACGAAATGGGACTGTTCTCAGAGAAATTATTTTTTATCTAACCTCTACACCCTTGACTTTGGCTGCTCTCCTGGAAGACTTTTCAAACATTTTTGAGCAAGGTTTTAGGTCCCTCTGGTACTGGAGCAGCCCAATGTGCAGCACAGAAGCAAAGCTCTCGTTTTCTTGGGTTTGACTAGGACAATTCGTATCATCTTTAACTCATTTTAAAATAATTTTGTTCTAACTTGAGCTCCAAGTCTAAGCTGAAGTGGCGGGACTGCCAACCAACTTTTCGTTGTAGTTACCAAATTCTTTTCAGATATAATGCTGACAAGGTTTTTGCAAACTATCCCAGTCATCTCTTTCCTAGTATCACGAGGGTTTGTTTGGTGGGATGTTGGAGTAGCAGTGTCCTGTCACTTCTCAGTTCTCAGAGATTCGAGTTATTAAAATTGTTACAGCAAGACAATATAACAGAAAACCACCATTGGCAGCATTTGACATTCTCTTGTGGCTCATGCAGTATCAAGCATTTTTCTTAAAGTTTAGGCTTCTGATGCCATTTAACCAAATAGGAATCTTATCTTTCTCTTTATTAACCAATTTTGTTGAACCTTTTTGGTCATGTAGACACTCCTAAGAGTGTGACCAGCGTGGTCTTCAGAATGCTCAAAGCAGATGAAAGATATAAATGGACTCCACACTGACTGCCTGTTTTAATCTAACTAAACCACCTTTACAATTTAAAGTATTTGACTCCTGATTTTCCAAGCTTCATGTTAACAGTGCTGAAATGGTAGGTGAGATGCACAAAGACGTGCAAAAGTTTCAGTTTCCCACATGGCTGTTACCTCTCGGTATTGCATCGAAGTATAAATACATGCACCTACACCCATTCTTTTTGTAACTTGAAAAGGTTTGATATGTAAAGGGCAAGTTTGAAAATGTTAATGTAATGCTGTGATGCTCTAGACTCCCTTTAACAGGAACCATTAAAATGTGCATAATTATAGGGCAAAATGTCAAGCAGTCAGTTTAATTTACTGATGAATATATAGAATTAATGTTTTGCAACAATTCCAAGATTCTGAACTGCGAATTAGCGGCAAGGTAATATTTTGTTTTGTTGACATTTGTTGAAACAGTTTCGGTATTCATTTGGCCTGTGCCTTTGTCCACAGGTGGATTTTGCCTTTACAGTTTGGCAGAGCTTTCCTGAGAGGATCGTAGGGTACCCTGCGCGCAGTCACTTCTGGGACAACACTAAGGAGAGGTGGGGGTATACCTCCAAATGGACTAATGACTATTCCATGGTATTGACAGGAGCTGCTATTTACCACAAGTAAGAACCGGGAGCATCTGCTGTCCTCCTTCTGAACAAAACAAAAAATAGTAAAGAGGGGGGTGGGGGTGGGGTGTGAAGAACATTCTTCCGGGGAGGGTCAAAAATGGAAAGATAATAAGTCTACTTTTTATGGGGTAATAATTTAAGTTCTTGGTTTAGCTCTGGGGATCTGGTAATCATTATTGCGCTTGTTGGGTCTCTTTGAAGTCACTTGTGTTTTGAGGCAGTCGGACTGCTCTTTTTAACATCAGGAATTACACACTTCAAAGAGTTCCCGAATTCATTAAGATGCTTGGCTGAATGGCCTGTAGCATAGCAGAAAGGAGGTTACTTCCAGACCAGCTCTGGGTATGTGTTGGCTGACAGCTGCAGACTGCAAAGTCTTCTGGCCACTCTAGAAATGAAGTACAGTGGACACATCAGAGTTCAGCATATTGCAGCATGCTGGAGAAACCCCATGTTCTTAGGACTTCATCAGACCAAAGTCCTCTCTAGATATTAGGAAAAAGTCGGAAAATTTTGGAGTATCTAATCCACATCCCCACAAAGGAGAAGACAGGCCATAAGGGATAGTGTAGGCCCAAAGGGGAATAATTTCAACAGTAAGAACAGCAGTAGGCCACTTTTACTAGAGTTCTTTCCAATGGAACAGTTTGGAAAGAAAAGGTGGAGGATGAATTCATCAGTGTTGTCTGTCACGTTATAGCAATATGGGGCTCTCTTTCCTGCTTGTCCTTTATCTTGATGCTTAGGTCTGCATTGTTTCTTTCAACCCAGTTACAAAAAAGGTGTATATTCTGTTTCTCCATGAACACTGACTTGATGAGAAACTGATTTGTTTTCCCTTCTTCTTGGAGGATGAGACTAAAAAAGGATGTGGTGTATTGGGAACTGGCTGGAAAAACTTGTGTCTGAACTGAGATAGAAATTTCCTGGAGCTTGTGGTACCTGAAAGCCCAGTGACGTGTATTAATAACTCTGCTGTTGGTTTCCAGATATTATCACTACCTGTACACTCATTACCTGCCTGCCAGCCTAAAGAATATGGTGGACCAACTGGCCAATTGTGAGGACATTCTAATGAATTTTTTGGTGTCAGCTGTGACAAAATTGCCTCCAATCAAAGTAACACAGAAAAAACAATATAAGGAAACCATGATGGGACAGGTATGTATTCACAGCATATTTTAGCAATTGGGATGAACTGATAATATAACAGGTTTGCTTCTAAGTTAGGCTTACAAATTGATACAATTCTGTTAAATTTTTTTGCAGTTTTTATTTTAGCAGAACTGTAAATAGGGTGTGGATATGCTTATTATAATGAGAGAAAAGGGAATGGCAAACATCTACTGTGGATGCTACTTCCCTTCATAGTTTTCTCACGCACTGTTATACACTGTAATTCCAAACTCCTGATGATTGTGGTGACTGAATTTCAGTTAAACTCTAGTTTTCTAATTAAATTTTCTAGACCTAAGACCTAACCATGGAATGCTAGAAGCAGAAGTAAATTCTAGAAAGGTTTTCTATTTTTTATTTTTATTAATTAATATGATGTACCAGGCTGTCCCTGTGCTATTTTAAATTATATAATATGATTCAAGCACTGACACTGGACTGTCACAACAGAGGTAATTTGTGATATGTAAGCAGTGTTTTCCCACAAGGAACATTTTGTCCCACAGTCATGCCATCACTCACTAGCAACCATGAAATGCTCTTCCAGTTACTGGATAAACCCTCTGTCTTTGCAGAAATGGAAATACCTCTAGTAACAGGGATACACTGTAACCTGGGGGCACTTGTCCTCCTACCCTGTGTGAGAACAATGGGAGGAATAGGAAGTCCTGCAAAACCTGCAAGTCCTGAACAGCCTCCCATCTGTGGTACCACGGTGTCTGTGATTCTCATTGCAAACAGTGCCATGATTACTAGGGGGCAGGAGAAATAAGGGGCCCTCTATTTTCCCCCACATTTCCTACTATTAGCGTTACTTGGATCTTTGACTGGGGAGTGACCATGACAGTTTGTAAACTCCCTTATCTGTATGTCACTGCACTTTCACCTGAGGTATAGGTAGCATTCAGCAATTCTGACTCATCTGGGTGCCCAGGAGACCTTCTGCAAACAAGAAGGTGCCATCCAGAAAGTACCTATTGCTTCCAATTTCAGCTTCACCTCTCCACAGGGCTATGCTTTGGCTGTTTGGCAGAGCCTGAACACTCATTTTTCATCCTACAGCGTGGGTGACTCGAGTCAGCCATGAACTATAACTCTCTGCTAAAGACAAGTTGTTCCTGTAGCTTTGGGAAATGTAATGGACCATGTTCATAATTCCTTGAAAGACAAATAAAAAATTAACATAACCTCAGTATTGTGACAGAGATTAATAGTCGTATGGAAATTCACTGTTAATGGCCAAAATGTCTGCTATAATCCTCCAGCAACAAGCTTTTACTTGCTCTTTAGTGGCTTGGTATAATCAGGAGGCTGTAATCAATGCACATTATAACCTACCACTTGAGCTAAACTGGACAGGCCTTGGACAAAGATCAAGTTTGATACCACAGTCATTTGGCAAGTCCTTGACTTTATCTGTTTCTTCATGTTTTAATTTACATCCTTTGACTTTATGAATTTGTATTTGGTTTTAAACTATAGTGGAACCATAAGTGCTATAGAGAGATGCATGGGAAGTGGCACAAAAAAAATTCTTAGGCTCTCAGCATTCATACTTTATCTTAAATAATAGTTTTATTATGTTTATAAATGCTCTTTAGGTACAGATAAAGAATAACAACATCTTTAAAGCTGTCAGGACATTTTTTTTCTAGAGCTGCTGAGTTTCAATGGACTTCTACAAGGATTATATCTGCCCTGAACTTTGGAAAGTCAGGCCACAATATTTTGCATATATGCAGTCAAAGACCTTGGTTCTTTTCCTTGGGTCAGAGTTTAGCTTGATGTAGTGTGGAACATCAGTTAATTTTCTTTGTCTGTGAGACAGTACTGTCTGATGCACTGGCCTTGGCCAGTGGGATTCCTGGAAGCACTCTGCTTTTCACTGCAGGATGTCTACTCCCATGAGTAATGCCAAGCACATAAGGGCTTCTGCTGAGCTCAGTTAAAAGCTGATTGAAATTACTTTTGTATAAATTTCTGCAGATCTGGACTGCAAACGTGCAGTTTTGACCCTGAGAAACTGTAATAATTTTCTTCCTATGGCTGAAGACCATGGGCAGCTGTTGGGCTGGGCTTGGGTGTGCACCTCTGCTGAAAAACAGTGGCCTTCTTGTCTTTCTTAGTGGTTTTTAAGGACTTGTTCTATCTCTGAAATAACTGGAGGGTTTGAAAGAAAGAAGAGTTAGAGATAAGGTGAAATAAAGTGTGATGAACTATGGAAGGGCTGCTCATGGATGTCATGCTCCACATCAGGCTGGCTTGTGCTTGAACTCTGGTCATCACGCTGCACTGCCCTCTGCTCGTTTTGGAAAGTTGGGGGTGTCTGGCTCACCACTGCTGGCTCTGCAGTGGGCAGGGTGTCCTTTCCCCTGTTTGAACCCCCTGAGCAGATTTTAGGTGCCGCAGAGCCACACGCTCCTGAGCCCCAGCGCGGCCCAGCACCACGGTGTCAGCCTGGCCACAGCACTTGCCCTTCCCGCCATCCTGTTGTATCATGGCCAGTGTCTGATCTTGGCTCTCCTCTCCACACAGGCATCCCGGGCCTCGCGCTGGGCCGACCCCGACCACTTCGCCCAGCGGCAGAGCTGCATGAACACTTTCGCCAGCTGGTTTGGCTATATGCCGCTGATCCACTCGCAGATGAGGCTCGACCCTGTCCTCTTTAAAGACCAGGTCTCCATCCTGAGGAAGAAGTACCGAGACATTGAACGACTCTGAGGAGCGCTGCTGAGGGGGCCGAGCCGCCCCCCGCCAGACTGTGCCACTGACAGCAAGCGCCCGACCCCGCACGCGGCGTCCTGGCTCCGGGGCGCGCTGCTCCGGACTGTGCCGAACCGCCCGGCAGGCTGCTGTCGCTGAGACTAGGTCGTGTACAGTTTCATTATGGAACATTAAATAATTATTTTTGAAATGATTGCTATGCAGGTTTAAACTTTTTTAATGATCAAAAAAAAAACCCTATTAAAAACAGAGTTCTTTCTTTAATCAAAATTGTGTTGGTTGTGAATATTTCAGAGCTGCCATTTCTTTCTTTCGTGCATTTGATTGTCAATGCAATTTTCATTCCTTTTCCCCTGCACAGTTAAACGCTGGAATCTCATGGAGACAAAATGCATCAGGTTCAGAAACAAACTGAGCACAAGCAGGACATAACCGAAGTATTAACATTTCTCATTTACTGCTGACTTTTTAATTTTTTTCCTGTTTTCCCCAAGCCAGTAGCAGCCACTGCGGCTAAACTCCTTTGGACACATGGAAAACTGGAGAACCCCCAAGGAACCAGACAAGAGGGTAGATCCTTCTGGTTGAGGACCCCATTTTTAAAGGTCATCAGCCTTGCACTGAAGGGAGAGAGGAGCATTATTATGGAGGAGCAAACCAGTTGCATGGAACAAAGGGACACGTGTGCACAGCAGGGCTGTAGTGCTGGGTGTGTGTATTGTGGTTGGAGAGGTGCATCCGGAGTGTCCCTGTCCATGGGTGGCTGAGCACCCCAGGGACAGTCAGCACAGCCAGCTGTTGTCATGTGGGACACCCAGAGCTTGTGCAAGTCCCTGCTGCTGGGGGCAGTGGTGCCACTTGGCTGTGGCAGCTAAACTTCTAGAAGTAGCTTTTTTCTGAGGGCAAAAGGGGTTTTGACAGAAAACAAGAAGGCAGTGCAGGAATTTGGCCTGTAACAAACTGGTTTATTTGAAGTCAAAGCATGGGCTTCTCCTTCTCTTTTTTTGTTTTCTTTTTTTTTTTTTTTTTTTGGAAGTGCAAATATATGGAGAAATTCCCTCTTGTAGGTCTGACACCTGAAGTAAAGTGTATGGTCAGACACTGGTTACTGGCAGCAGTGGGTACTCCCAGGTATACTTGGGGCAAGGTAACTCACACAAAAAACCTGTCCCTGAAATACCAGTGCTGCTCCCACTCCAAAATGGTTTTAGCATTTCAAATATAAGTATTTTTAAATTGAAATATTCCAATTGTTTATTTCTCTGTAGTTCTTTGCTTATTTATTTGTTTCTTTACATTGAACTATGAAAACAGAAGCAGTCATTTGGGTCAGGAAGATGCCATTCCAATTTGATTAGAAAATAAGCACTTTAAAAATGTTTTGAACTTCACATTTTGATGGGGTGCATTTGGGGTGCTCTGTAACTGTTACTACCCCCAAGAGCTCTGTTAAAGTCACAGCAAGAGGTTTTAGTGCCGATGCTCAGAAGACCAGCAAGCCTTTCTATACCTCATTCCTTTGTAAACAGGCAATCTGGTAGCAGGGATGAAGAGTAGTTGGACCCGAATTTTCACCAATTTCATTCAGGCTCAAGCACCAATTTAATATGCAGCTTTAAGCATCTCCCATAACCAGGGCATGCCTCAGTTTCCACCTTTGTAAAAGTAATAGATGCTGTTTGTAGAGAGAATGCTGTGAAGCTTAAATACTTTCTGTTGCTGTTAAGATCAGAATCCCTAAATGGAAAGTTGCTTTAAAAGTGCAAAGTGCACATTGCTAAATGTTTGTATGCAACTTGACATGTAAAGACTTGCAGAGAGTGCTTTGCTTTGCGTATGTATTGCAATATTTAAACAGAGCACAGCGAGTTAGGGCAGGAACATCAGCTTCCTGACATTTTGTGTTAGAATCATTGAATGGTTTGGGTTGGAAGAGATCTTAAAGATCATCTAGTTCCAACCCCCCTGCCACGAGCAGGGACATCTTCCACTAGACCAGGTTGCTCAGAGCCCCATCCAACCTGACCTTGAACGCCTCCAGGGATGGGTTATCTACAGCTGCTCTAGGCAACCTGTTCCAGTGCCTCACCACCCTCACAGTAAATAATTTCTTCCTAATATCTGATCTAAACCTGCCCTCTTTCAGTTTAAAACCATTACCCCTTGTCCTATCACTACACGCCGTTGTAAATCTGAACCAAATCTTTAAAGGAATCTGCCAAAACATGTGTGAGACCTGCGGCTAGTGACTTATGCTGCTGAAAGGAAGAGGTGCCACTTTTCCCATCACTTCTTTTGGTCTCCCAGTCCCTGGCCGTGAAGTCTCACCTGATACCTTCTGCCACCTTCATCAGATGTTTCTGTGAGCCCATTTAACTCTCTACACTCATGGAAAACTGTCCAGTGATTTATTGGATTTTTCTAATGCCATCTTAGAGAGTTAAATCAGTATGTGGAGAGAAGTATAAGGAGGCAGCAGTAGGTGGGCAGGGCTAGGGAGGGAAAGGGAGCAGGATATACTCCAGTCTGTGTAGACTGAGCTGCTAATTCAGCTGCCCTCATCTCATAAGAACCTGAACCTCAATTCCCGGTGCTCTCAGGTCTGTGTTTGCCGATCTGTGGGGGAAGGTGAAATCCAGTGGTTTGATTTTCCAGAGTGAATGGCCCAGTGGCTCCCACGGTGCTTTTCCTCTTGGAGGTCAGTTAGCTCTTTCGATGACTGGAATAGACCTTCTCCTTAGATTCGTTTTTTGGAGAATGTGCCAAACACTGGATGAGGTCGGCGGGGCTCATGTCCCGTGTGCAGGTGGGCATGCAGCCATGTCCACAAGAGCATCTGCAGCTCTGGGAAGCAGTCACTGGTCTATAGCCAGCAAGGGGGGCCAGGGAGAGGGAAAGGGAAAAGAGGGGACCTTACAAAAACAAGAATTACAATTCTGCTTGGGTTTTAGTTAATGCCATTTAGGGGCACGTGGGTTGAGGTTTTAGTTAGAAAGGCAGTAACTAACCATTTTCGGAGTGCACTGAGTCAGGCCAAGCTTCTAAGCTGTTTCACATTCTGTTATCGTCACTTTTTGGGGTAGCTGAAAGAGACTGTGCTAAAGCTCACTCTCAGTGTGATTCGAGGCCCCTTCTGTTTACAGATTGCTAATTAAACAAGTAACAATGGAAGGCTTAGCTCCAGAAGGGATGCGGATAGGTAGGAGTGTTTCTCTTTGCAGTATGTTACCCGGGCATAGTCGTCTTGCCTGGAAAGAATGTGCCTCAGGGCCAGTCTCGAGAACAGCCGCTGGTCTCCATGTCCACTGCCCAGGGACCCAGGGGAAGCAGACCCAGCTTAGAGACTTGTTCTATTACACTGGATGTGTCTGTTCTTGGCCAGCACTTCTAGGACAGCAGGCAGAGCCTTCCGTGTGTACCTGTGTTGGGCAGAGTTGTGTTGTTTCCTTAGTGAATGAAATCACCCTTTCGTCATGTCCCAGGTGCAAGTTAATGGTTCTTTATTCTTTTTTTTCTCCCTTCCCAATTCAGATGGTGCTGAAACAAGGTTCACTCCTTGTTGCTCCTTTTGTAGGTTTTTTCTGTTATTACTTTTCATTAACAGCAGGCTATGTTAGCCTTTACTTTACAGGTACTTGAATGCCTGATGACTTGACTGAGTGTTACGCATGTGGCCTTTTGTAAAGGTTGCTGACCTTAATTTAATCAGGGGTGAGATGGGTGGATGAATGTGAATAGATCCATGCCATTAAAAAAGAATAAAAGTAGAGATTAGAATTTGGGAGAACTGATTAATTTTTAATTGAATTTATTAAAGGGGAAAAAAAAAGAAAGAAACCCTTCCCAGTTATAATTTGAATAAGATCTACTGCAGGAGGAAGGTTTCATGAGAAAAATGCAACACAAAAATAGGGGCAAACTTCCAAGATAGTGCCTGGCACTCCTTGCAGTCCCTTGGACCTGCACAAGATTTTACTTACCCTCTTTCTATTTTGTGAGAACCCCTAATTATTACCATACCTTTTTCTAGATGTGAATGTTTAAGCTTTGTAATAATTTCATAGTGAACACACTGGTGTGCTAACGCATGGCTATCAAGAGCTTTGATCTTTTCCATTGGAAAACAATGGATTTGATCAATTTCAGATTGCAGTTTCTCTTTTAGAGCCAATTTTGACAAAGAAATTAATCTCTCACCAGTGGGCGCCTTTTAAAATAGCTCATTTACCAAAAGATGTTATTTGGAGAATGGAAGTCATCATTTGACACTGAAGCAATGAAAGAAACAGCTAGATGTAGTTTTTTTTAAAAATCTTTACATACCCAATGTAAAATGCTGTGTCCTCCTCTTTCAGACTTCCCCCTTACTAAAAGACTACTCAGTGTTTGTCATAACGTCTATATCAATTGACAACGATTTGTTAATTCCTCCAGTTAAACATCCTCTTACAGCAAAGGATGGATTGGTGGTCTGCTCCTTTTTTTTTTTTTTTCCAGGCAGCTCTGATGTCTGTCCTGGAAATGTGGCCTTCAAGGGCATCAGCCTGACAGAGCCATTTCCCCGGGTGTTAGCAGGACTTCACGGGATGGACCTGTGGTCTTCCAAGAAGGGACCTGCCCTGTGCAGGGTCTTAGCTGGTGTCTGCTGGAAGTAAAACTGCATATTCCAAAATTTTGTACGTCTCACCCTTGTTTAAAACTAAGTCAAGCTGACCTTTATACCACTATTTTAACCGTCTTCACACACATTTTTTAGGTTGGAGTTAAATTAAGGGGGAGTTAAATTAGGCAGGGGTTAAATTAGGGATGGGGGGGTTATGGGACTCATCAGATGCTTTGAGATGCTCCCTCCCACTCTTTCATGATGTTTTTAGTGACTATTTCACAGTGGATTAGCAATGATCCAATGGGCCTTGCGACCTTGTACATAATTCTGTATATTTATTTTGAGAGAAAATATGTATAGTGTTTGGATTATGAGAATGGAAACCTGAAATGGGAATTCTTAGGATGGCAAATGTAAAGCAAAAAAGCAAACAAAAATACAATCTTATTTTGTATAAAATGTACATTTTTGAGAAAAATTTTCTAATGCATTACCAATGTTTTCATAGTGCTACCACATCTTTTTTAAAGTGTTTCTCCCTCTTTGTTTGACTATTGACAACATGGTGCAATTAAACCTAAAGCAAATGTGTGAGTGAGAGAAAAAGAGAGAATGAGAAATTAAAAAGCCATATAATTTGGTTTACTTCATTAACCTGTATAACATCATAGGTTTACCATCTAAGATAGGTTGTTTTTATAGATAGTGTCACCAAAGACTTTTTTTCTTCAGATTTATTTTGAAAAGTTGTTAATAAAGGACGTACATTTCTGTTGCAGTGTGTTCTCATTTTTAGGGTAGAATAACAAATCTTGCTTGTGCTCTCAAGAATGCAAATTTGGGAGCATGATTGCCATGTGTCTCAAGTTCAGGATAGTTAAAGGAAAGGCTCTTTATCTTCTTTCTCCTCGGCCTGAACTGAGCAATGACTCTATGTATATCCTGTATCTTTGTTCCGTCGACAATATATGTGGTATAGGATTTATACACAGCAGTCTCTAGTCCAGCAACACTGACAGGTGTTTACTGTCTTACCTGAGAGCAGCCGAACTTTCAGTCTGTGTCACTTGTGTAAAGCAGGACAGTCTCCCTGCATTGTGACACAGTCATTGGTAGGGTGACTTTTAGGAGTCACTGTAATGTGTATGTGCAAAAGTGATCACCACCCTTTGAAGGCTAATCCTTGCAGGCTGAGAATATGTGTCTTAATTTAATGACCCATATTTATTGTTAGGGGGTTATTAGAAGCCTGTCACAGTCACAGGGGTTCACATTCAGCTCACCTAACGCTAGATAAGTACAAAGTACTCCTCTCTGTCAGAGCTGGACCTCACTGTCACCCTGCCTAGTCAATAAACAGAACAAAGCACTGCTAGAGATTATCCTCCTCACCTGTTTCAGACATGGGCTTTAGCGTATGTTGTGCCTCACATGTGCTGGTTTTCTGCCTGCTGATGGTACAGGCACAGTGATTGCAGGTCCTGCAGCACAGATGCCAACATCTGGTGGGATGAATCCCACACTGGGAAAGTTCCTGATAATGCTAGTGGGCTCAGGATCATGGCCTGTACATTTGAGAGATTAGTCACTGGTTTGTTCCTGTCTGAGATGTTCAGGCTGCCCTCATCCCTTCTGGGGTTCAGACTGCCAGAGCATGGAGAGGTCATTATGTGCCAGTCATAGAAGACTGATGTATCTTGGGAAGAGGCTGAAAGATGTGGGTGAGTCTGCTCTGCTCCTGATTCACAGAGTCACTACAGATTCCTTCAAAACAGAGCATCCCAATAGTCACTGTTGTTTGATACTGGCTATGGGCTTCTCCCTGCCAGAAGATGAACAAAAAATTTTACCCTGAAAATGATCCGAGATTAGTGCTCCCATTCCTTCAACACTTGAATTCTTGTTGCCATGTTATTTATACAGAACAGCTTGAGGTGGAATTAATTTGATTAAATGCACATAGCTACATCTGCAGGAGCCACCAGAAGGCTGTTGTCTCCATTAGTAATTAACATGGGCTGGCTGGTGTAGAGCTGTAGTCTGAGACCTGACTTGTGTGCTATACATATCTTGGAGGGATGGGTTAAATATGGGGGTAGAGTGTGTCAGGTCCACATCTGCCCCTTTTAGCTTTATTTCATCTTAAAAGGGTCCAGTTTATGTGCTCCATCACTACCCTGTGATGTGAACCAAAGTGAGGTAAGGGGGAAATTGGGATAAGTCACCTCAGAAGTGCAGTATTGACCTCAACCAAAGCACTGCTGTCGCTTTGCACCCCTTGGTAGCCTGTGTCAGCAGTGGAGATCAAATCCAAAACAAATCAGATCAGTGGGATTCTTGGCAACTTGTGCCTGCTTAATCTCTGCTGTATAGAAAAGTGGTAAGTAAAGGAAGAACAATTGGAGATCTCCAAGTTTTATGTGTCAGGTGAAGAAATCCCACACTGAGTCAGTTTTGCTTGCTAGCCTCCTACACTGGGAATAAAAACTGATTCTTAGTTGGAATACAGCAAAGCCAGGTCTGTGAAGTCCCTGAGACCTTGCTTTCTTACATGAACTGAAGATCTGCCCCAAATACTTAGCACATCATCAGTTCAACTTTAAATGCACTCTTGGGGCTTTTTTGAACAACCTCACTGAAGCTCATTGTGCTGTCACTTGAATGGGGGGTAGATAAGAGAGTTGGCACTGTTCAACGCCTTATTTTATTTTCTCTTTTAAATGATTAGCAGAGAGAAAAGAAACAAGTCTCTACTTTCCCTTTCTAAAGCTGTTAGCTAATCGTATCCACAATGTTATCGGAGAGAAACAGATTTTGCTCAAGATTTTGAGCAGCATGAGGTGACATTCTTGTCGCTGCATGATATAGTTTATTCCACACTTCATTTCCCTGCATGGCTTCTAGGGCTGTGTGCGGGTTTTATGAGCTGCCTGCTCCAGGTCCTGCTAGTTCTGGGAAGCTGGGTTTGCACATCACCTGCATTTCTATTGCGCATTAAGGCTGTATGGGTGCTCCGTGCTGCAGAGGCTGCTCTGTGCAGCTTGAGCTCCTCCCCTTTTCCTTTCTGTAGTTAACTATTGTCTTGCTGGTGGTGGTAAAGCAAAGTAAGGAACAGCTATTCTTCATCCCAGAAAACAAGATGAAGCCATTTCTGAGTTTTCACAAGAAGTATATAATGTTAACAGCAACTGCTGAGGTAATGAAAAAAAAAAAAAAAAAAAGAAGATACAACACTCTCTCAAAGTTGCACTACAAATGAGAATTTTGAGTTTGTAAAATATTTTCCCTCATATTCCTCCCTCCCCCTCTACACAGAATCATCTCCCATTCACAACCACAAAGCAGGTTAGTTGCTGGCAACTGAGGGATACATTTTGGGTTTTCTTTGTTTCTAAAACAGATCCACAGTCAGTTCCTCCTTGTAAGATGTAAGCATCCTGAGGTCTGTGGCAGCCCCAGCAGGGATTTCATTTGGTAGCCCTGTAGAAGACTGACAAGGTCCTACATTTTTAGGAAGATTTTGGAGTCTTTTAGAACATCTTCACAGGTTCATAGAATGGTTTGGTTTGGAAGAGCCATTAAAGATCATCGAGTTCATCTAGACCATCTTGGCTTGCAGATGGAGAATCAGAGGCATCTGCAGTAACTCTGCTCTTTGGAAAATACAAGTCTGAAATGGACTAATTAGATTTTTTAAAGTGTTTAGTTTTTAATTCTACCATGTTTTTTTATGTGGATACTAGTATGGGTTTTTTTCTGAACATCAGCCCCGTTTTACCGTCTCATCACCTAAACCTGCTGTGGAGTTGTACAGTGCAGTAAATAATGTACCAGTGGCCTGATTGCCATATACACACTATTGCTACCACTGATGGAGCATCAGGGAGCTGGGAAGACAATATGAAAATGACAAGGTAAGAGTACCTGAAATTGTGTTCAAAAACCAAGAGTTTAAAACACTGTAATGGAGATCAACATAGCAAGAAAAAATGGATTTTCCACTTGCTTAGATTGGTGTAAATCCCTCTTGTTTGTGTTGAAGACAATGGATTGTTTTCAGCCCCAGAAAGGGCAGAATTAGACTTTCAAAACATTAATTTAAAATACCTTTTTATTCAGTGAAGTCTTGATCCTGCTAGATAACAAAGCACATTTACAATGTGAACAGCACCTTGTGAGAGGCTGCCAGGAAAATACAGTCCTCTGCTTTCCC